GGTGAGATCAAACTTTTACTGCATTATCTGGTGTTTACGATGTTGTCTATGAATGCTGTTGGCAGTGGTTGACTAGTCGGTGTTCTCCCTGTTAAAGTTTGCTTTCCAGTGGGTGATGCAAACAGCCAGCACCATAACCAGCAGAACAAAACCCACAACCATACAGTACCAGTGTTGAAAGAAAGACCAAGAGGATCCTTGAGATGAAAACTGAAGAAATGCAGAGAGAAATAAAACAAGCTGTGGTTAAGATCATTTTTACTGGATTTTTACTGTTAACGTTGCATAATGAAATTACACTTCATACTTTTCCTGAAATGTTCTGTTCCTCCACATCAAATATGGTAAATATTAAGGCATTTACTTGCCTATAAAGTACTTCATTTACACACACAGAACCCTAATGGTGCTAATGGGTAAAAAACACTGGTAACCATGTGTTTTTTAGTACAAACAAAGCAACTTTATATATCCCTGTTGTAAATGCTGCATGTTTATTTACTGTGTTAGACTTAAGTTGTCTGGCAGGAAGAGATTGAACGGTCAGCTCTGACACAACATATCTCCCATTTGCATTATTATTAATTTATGTCTATTATTTATCAAGGTGACATACCTTTGAGTGAGACGCATGCAGAGAAATCTACAGGCTTGAGATACAGCCATTATACTTCAATAAGCAAGTGTGCAACAAGGCCTAGTAAACACAACACAAAATATATGAATCTACCTTGAAGCGTGGTTCCTCTCCCAACCGTTAAAGCTGTCTCCACATTAGCAATACAGTAGTACAGCCCCAGGTCTCCCTCCTCAATATTAGTGATCTTCAGTGCCAGAGATCGGTTCGTTATTTCCAATGAGAAGCGAAAGTTAAGCTGAAACCCTGAGCAAAAAAGTTGTAGTCGGTTGAGCACATATCAAACAATACGATATATTGTACATTTCCCCTCTGTGGGACGAATAACAGTATTCTGATTCTGATGTTCTGTATTCCTAGTTTATGTTTTTTTTACCCCAGTTTTATTAACACATTTGACACTTAAAGAGTTGTTTACAGTATGATTTCTGCCTCAGTTCAGTTTAGACTTTAGTTGTTTTTATGATTCAATTTTGGTTCAAATCAGCAATTGAGACTGTCTAATACCTTGGACTGGTTGTGCCTCTGTGAGGCTGGCGCTGAGGATCACAGTTGGGGTGGAATCAGGGTTGTTCCTAAGCCAGGTTGTATCATAAATGTAGAATATCTTGCAGTTGAGAGTCACTGTTGAACCGTACTGGACATATTGGACCTCAGCAGCAGGCACAAAGGGCATCCAAATACCAGACATCATGATAAACCCTAGAGTGAATCAAATGGATTATTAACTCAGTTTAAACTTAAAGCAAACGTTTAGACTCAATGTTTTTAAACAGTGTTAATTGACATGCAATCATTTGAGTTTAAACATATTTTTTGAAAAAGTATAGTAGTATAGATATAGTAAAGTAGTGCTGATGCTATAGTGAAATATCTCCTTCTTACTATAAATTAATTGTACCCTTTTGTTTACAGCCTACTAACCCAATTTTCTTAATTTTGACAGACTTCTTTCATTGACAATTGTGAGAACTTCTTTCTCCATAGTCAATCTCTGTTCTGGTGACCAATGCTAATTCCACTGCTTTTCTCTATTCTCCTTTGTGCACTTGTAGGCCACAACATGCAATTCCACTGTTATGCACTGGTACGCCTCCAACACAAAAAGGAACTGGTAACTGGAACTGTACATTTAAAAAACATGCGTAGAAGAATACACTATATTGGGTAACTCGATAGGATTGCTTTCACCCACACAAATATGTTCTGCATCCAAATAAAAGTCCGGAATGAAAAATGTTGTGTGTGACTTATTTTAGCGCACATACAGACTTATAAACTAGTTTACTTGAGAGGCCATCCACACCGACTGATGTCGGAAGTGGGAATGCATTTTTTTTTTTTACAGTTGCCAGTACCCCACCTGACAGAGGATAAATGATTTCTGCCCAGCTAACCGGGTAAGAAGTTACCATTACATTATTGGTCGGTGGTTAGCTGGGTTTGTCCAGCACAGAAGAGTGTTTAATGTGCACTAATAACCACACAAATGAGCAATCCTCTTAGTCACAGCGGTGCATGGACCGAAAACATATGAAGTAATCATCTGAAAATTACAATAATAGGTCCCCAAAGCAAAGACGCCTACTATGCTTCTGTCCGTAAAATACATTGCTGTATTCAGACTGAGGTCATCATTTCTTGGTTCTATTATCAACACATCTGATTAAAGATTTCAGTATGGTGCTTGAAGTTTTAGAAATCAACACCTGACTATTCCAAGTTAGTATTTTTAAATATTTTCTTAAAATTCACTTGTACATGGAGGCTTTTTGCAGCTTATCTTTCTTTACCCATGATCTACCTCCTTATTATAGTTGATTTGATTCTCATTTTCCCTCAACAAAACAATTACTATCATTCCCTTCTCATCACTTGACACAATTTAAAAGGATGAAGAAGCAATATCAATCAGAAACATCCAGTGCTGCCGCCACATCTGCGTGTTTGTGCCATTGTAATCATTGGTCGTTGTTTCATGTCATTCGGAGTCTACCTTGATCTAAAAGTATAACCTTATTCCTTACTTATAAAACTCGGTGACTTTCTGAAAAATTATATTTATATGGTGTTTTTGTTACTCACCAACAAGGATCATTGTTATCCAGTTAGACTTCTTCTTCTTGTGTCTCTATTTTTTTCTTCTGTTTGTGACATTAACAGAACACGGACTTCCTTTTTAGTTGCGTGTCACTGTTTCCACGGAAGGTGGAGTTGTCTGGCTTCAAGGAAAGTGAAAACCTCAAAAGGTAATGAAGCTATATTTACCCTGAGAATAAAACATGTTTCTCTTCTGTGCTCAAAACAACAATGATTAAAATGTGATACATTGTCCTCTTCTGTGCTTTACATTTTAGTACTTTAATTTACAGCTTAAAAGTCATTATAGAGAAAAAGCAAGCTCTACTTGACCTTTTATCAATATTTTGGCAGAAGGAACTTTTTCACTTTCTATCGCACCCCGGTCCCTTCTAGATTGAATTCGATATTTTAAAGTTTGATTGACTTTAAGTCAAATTAATTTGAAATCGGATCTGTCTGGGGGAAGGAGGCTGTCAAACTTAAGGAGGAGGTTCAATTAGCCCAAGGTTCTCTTGAGTCGGGGGCCAAAAAGTATTGTCTGTGTGTCAAATACATATTTGATTCCTTCGTGCCAGAGAGCCCCATTGTTGTCTAGATAGAATATAACAAGAACATTTGAATGAGCCACACTGGTTGATATATATCCACACATAGGCCTACCTGCCTGCTGTAAATATGAACAAACACCACAATTTGCACTCTTTAAAGTGTACTGATCTACTGCGAACAAATTAACTATCTTCTTCATTAATTAAAAGTGTTTTACTTTTTGTAAACACATTTTTAGAAACTTTACTTTCCCAGCTGTGTTCAAAGATTACTGTCTTCAGTAGAAGTTAGTGTTCTGTTTTTCTGTAGAAGTTAGTGTTCTACAGAAAACACACATATTTGTGAATTAAAGACAGGGTATTTAATTCACAAACTTTTACATACCCTGAAGCCATTCTTTTGTTGGTTTTGGTCTGTTAATTTAGTTGAACATCAGGAAATACATATATATATATACATGCGAGCAGTCATTCATTATATCATTATTTTTGAATGCATGGGAGGCAAGTAATCTGTTAAAGTTATCAAGTCTTGGCACCCTTTGTTGACTGTGCTTGCTTTTTCAACACAGATAACCATACTTCCATTTGCCATGTGTGGGTGATAATTAGATATGACTGATAACAGGTAAATAAATAAGGTAAGAAATATAAAAGATATCGGTAATAAGTTGGAGGGCTTTTTCACTTTGAGAGACAAGCATAAGCAGTCACAGGTGGATTTTTTTTAAATGTACATTATTAAAAGAATATACATGACCAGAGCAGACTATGCTAACTTAACATAAACCCATAAATACAACCCACAAGACAATGTAGTATTTCAGTTATACTATTTAACAGCTTACACAAACACAGCTAGCAAAAAATATACTATAATATAGAAATACACAGAATGTAGTACCCAAGTCCCATTCCCCCTAGAATGGTGTGACAGGTTGGGGTGGTGCATGACCACTTCCTGTAACACCTGTTGCCCATGCCTGACAAGCAAGTCGGTCACCAATGGCTTCCTGCTGCATAACCTTCAACACGTTTAACTCATAAGCAGCCCAGACTTAGCTAGAACAATTGACGGTATACTTAACTTAAAGATGTTCTAAGCGTTATGGGGTTTTCCCTTTCATATAGTATGTTTTATAGGTTTTTGTGAATGTAAATGGTCTGCAAAGGCTAAAATCCCAATGTTCTCAAACTTTGAGTTTGATTTATGGAGATTTGTGTCATCATTTATCTCTTTTCTTATACATACAGTATGTGGACTGTGAGGATGACGTAAGTGCAAGAAGGTTACAGACATGTATTTCAACTTTGTTTGGGATGTAGGTGAAGCCTACCTACCTCTTCCTGTTACCCCTCATATTAGATTATAGGCATGGTACATATTTCTCTGGAATATCTGCCTCCATCCCAAAACAATATAATTGTAAAACATTTTTTTATTATTATTTTTTATTTTATATTATTTGTATTGTTATATTTACTTAATTTTATTATTATTAACTTATTTACTTATAAATCTATTTAAATGTGTATTTTCATTAGCACTTGTTGTGATACTGTAGCAGATGTGGTATCCCCATCATCATCAATATGACTACCAGATTATATATATATTTCTCGAACAAAATATATAAGCATTACATCATATTACCTTTGTATGGAGTCAGTCCATCTCCTCCCATGAATAGCAGTCATGAGCATTATACTTTGTGTGTTCAGTGTGCATGATGACGTAGAGGTTAAAGTTCCACTCAGTGATAACAACATCTCGCAGCTTCCATGCTGCAACGAGGCGAATAAAGGGAATTTAAACAGCTCTGTGTGTGGTTGCTGGTTAGTTGACTAAGGAGTAAAAAGACCAATGGAGCTCACGGCTGTTTGTGTGTAGAAATTGCTTTGGGTTTTAACTATCGGACTGCTGACTGCGAGAAATAACCACTGGATGAAGGAGCGTTCACAGGTGAAACGATAGTTAGCATTAGCATATATGTTAGCTGTATCCCTGTCAAGCCAGCTGTCAACTTGATGTTAACTCACACTTAATATTGTTAGACTGTTAACCAGTTTGGTAATTTGCCTTAACAAGTAACGACCCCACAAACACTCTCACCTATTGTGGGCTTTCCCTTAGAGTGTAATGAAACGTGTTCAGTCATTTAAGTTATACCCTCATGTTGTTTGTTTGTAAGCTGATTAGCTAGCATGCTAACGATAGAAGTTAAGCTAGCTGTCTTTAAGCAATTGCGTCTTTAATTCGTGTACATTGAAGTTACATCCCATACTTAAAGCCACATCGTTGTGGACACAGAAACACGATTTGTCAACGTCTGTTTTAACCTTAAAGGAGTGCGTTAGCTGTGTTGTGTTTGCCAATACAACTGTTTGGAAGAGGCTAACTTTAGGTTCTGAATAGTGATGTGTCGCTTTTAAGTGAACGACGGGAGCCGGCTCGCGCCCGCGAACGAGCCTTTTATTTATTTTGTTAAGTAATACAAGACAGAATGATATGATGATCTCCGCGCTACAGCTGCTCCGTGCATGCATGCAGTGACATGTAATATCCAAGGATTAGAGACTGTTGGATGCTGCTGTTTTGAGCATTGCAATATATTTATTTCCACTATGTTATTTATTTATGATTATCTCTAGGCTCAGCAAAGTTTGATGTCAGCTGTTGCTGTCTTTTTTTCTATAGTTAATACTGAAATAGAGCCCTGCTGTTTTGTCAGGGCCTTTTCTTTAAATATAATTTTAAAATGTCGATACAGTAGCCCCTTTTTTTTACACATTTGATATCTGAAAAAATCATGGTACTTCATCATATTGATCTAGCAATCATGTAAACCTAAATTCTACTGTATATAAAGTAATCAAACTTGATTTGTGCCTTCTGTGGCCTTATACATGCAGATATCTCAATAGAATATTTTCCTCGTGAAGAAAAACGTTTCTATAGACTCATGGTATACATTTTCACATCACCCCAAGATTTACAGCAGACCTTTGGTAGTGTTCTTGTCACAGGGTGATTTATTGCCTTGCTTAACAAAACGCTTCAGTATCATAAACCATGCGTTTGGCAAAGTTATTATTTTCTGCAATATTCCCAAATTAATGGAAAATTCTCATTGCTTTTTGTGAAGTCACCCTTCTGTTGCTAGGATATTCATAAGAAAAGACGTCATCAGTGCATCCCTCTATTGCTCATTAGATGTGCATGTTTCATAGTTCTATAGAAATATTTAATTGCTTATTGTGATGAAATTAAATGTTCCTTTGGTTGAATGAACAAGAGACTTTTTAACAGTAACATATTTTGTTTTAGGATGGCGGGAGTGTTCGACATAGACTTGGAAACTGAGGACCTCAGTGATGCAGAGGTCTGTATGCACTAAGTATACTTGAAATACACAGCAGAGGTTGCGCTAGACTTTTTCGCTGCCCGTCATTTTGACGGACAGGATCGTGACATTTCCGTCAAAATCCATTATATTCAGGGGTGCACATAACTTTTTTGCCCTGGTTCTCAAAGGAGCACCTGGAGATGTTGCTTGGTGCTCATCCTTAAAATGAAATAAACCGTAACTTTTGAGGGGGTCTTGACTTTATTTGCCAGACACACGCGCTGAACACACATGCAGAGGTGAACACAGAACACACATGCAGAGGTGAACACAGAACACACATGCAGTGGTGCACACAAGACAACATTAGCACGACCAGTAATCCTACAAGCTGTCATCACTACCCTCCTGACTGTTCTCCTCACTGTCTTCCTCTCTGTCAGACATGGTAGCTGATGATGTAGGCCTACTACTTTCTCTCTGGTTGAGTCTGCGATTAGCTGCTTGCATCCACAAGTCAACAGCTGGGTTTGGGTCGAAAGTCTCTGTTGTCATCTTAGACAAGTGGATGTAATCACATAAGTATGTGAACATAACCAATAACCTACCATAGCCAATAACAAATTAATGTAACTTATTTTATTTGTGTTGTTCATTCATATCTTATTTTACCTTAACATTTATTTATGCATTTTTTTTAAATCTCTCCAGTTTTAAAGGATATTTTTGGTTACTGTCCTATAGTATGCATTGGAATGATTTAAAACCTGTTTATCCCAATAATTATAAAGGAGTGCCTTGGAAATATGTGTTTACATAAATTGCGACCAAACCGTTTGAACTTAGACTAAAGTGAACTATCTAAACACTCACAGTCCTTTACCTCACTGAGCTGTAGTTATCAGCCTCTCAGTCTGACTGGAGAGGACTCTCCCTCCACATTATTGTAGAAACATCTTCTTCTTATATCCGTTAGAGCAGCTAGCACGGCACCAGATTCTAATAACAACAGCGCTGGTACCGATGCACCCTCCCTCTCTCCCTCGCATTTTGGCTGTGAGCTGCGGGCGCCAGATAAGCCAACATCCTCCATTTTCATCACTTACAGTGCCCATCGTACAGGGCAAATGAAACGTGTAACCGGGGTGAAAAGGGTGTTACATTTAGTTAATTATGAATGTTGTTACATCAAGGCCGAAAATTAGGATGAGCCCCAACGGTCAAAATGTTTTTTTCCCTCCCAGAACTGCCAGCGCAGCGACTCCACAGATCTGGCGCCCTAGGCGAACATCTAGCCAGTGCTACGGGCCGACCCTGAGTTCATATCATGGTTCATACATGTATGCAACTCGCAAATATCTTTCTCTCTCTCTTCTCTCTTCTCTCTCTCTCATCTCTCCTCTCTCCTCTATTTTCTCTTTTCTCTTCTCCCTTCTCTCTCTCCCTCTCTCAATGTTGGTACGCAAATGCGTTTTGTTTCAAATGACCCGGTGCTCTTTTTTTGGCGGAGGTGGGCATGCGCACCTGCGCACCAGTTATGTGCAGCCCTGATTATAACCCGTCGGCCTGTGCACAACTCTGCTCGTGAACTGTTAGCGCATGCCCACTGCACCTCGCGGGAGCGCAGCGTAAAGCTTCTACTCACAGACATTTCAATGATCTGTTCGGAAAAGTTAGGTTTGGAAACTATATAATTTCCTTTTGGGAAGGCATGCATAATAACCAGTGGTGTAGTGGGGATCTTTTTACTGGGGGGACGCTATTTTAATTAGGTCATCCCAAACAATGCTACACAAGTGCGCACGCGCACAGTGCACTCACAAAACGGGCAGACAGGTCCACAGAAACTACCGGTATGCTTAGTCCTACTTTAGTTACTGTACTGCAAAAAGCAAACGGCGCTGCGCTCAACACACACAGACTCAAAACCATGGACACACAGGCACATAAGTTACATAAACAATTTATAGGCCTAAATTGCATAAGCTACAGTATTGCAACTAAGCAGACAGTGCTGCTTCTCTCTCTATCTATCCACTTTCTAAATCTATTTAAAACTCATAACAAACAAACAAAATGTCCAAAGTTGTCCTGAAATTAACTTATTAAATAAACAAAACGAAAAATATAGCCATATTTATGCAAACAACATTGAATCTGGACTTGACATTATTCTGATTAGGCCTAGCCTACATTGCAAATAAGCAGACAGCGCTGCTTTTCTCACACACACACACACACACACACACACACACACACACACACACACACACACACACACACACACACCCCTTGGGTTTTGAAGACTGATAAATCCGAAATGGATGAACAAACTTTGCAGCCCAGTTTCCCAGCTTTGCAGTCTATCCACGGGTAGCCTCTTGTTTCCTCCGCCACATCTCCTCCGTCCATACCTCTGGGAAAGGTGAGCTTGAGCTAGCTAGAGGAACGTTGCTGGCGCAGCTAACGTGCACGTTAGCTAGCATTATCCACGTCTTGAGGCGGCTCTTCTGATTATGTATTACTAGCAGCTTCACTTGTAGCTTCGGTGCTGCTAGCCTCTTTCTTCTTGTGAATTATATTCTTTTTAGAAAAGAAGTCAAGTAAAACATGTTAGCCTGCCATTATAGAGCTTTTTCGTTAGCGTTCTTGAGGGAAAGAGCTGCCGCAAAATCGGCGGGTGTGGCGAGCTGGCTCGCCGTGGGTGTGTCAGTGACAGCGGGGTCACGAGCGTGATGATGAATCATACTTTTTTAAGGAAATCGTTTTTATTTTGTATTATAATTACTGTGAAATGTATTATGTTTTCGTCATTATTACAACAAATACATACTTGCAACTGATAACACTGGCAATGATTTTATATTTAATAGACTTAAAAAAAAGATCATGCTCCAAATAAGTGGGGGTACGGCGTACCCAACGCCCACTACACCACTGATAATAACACGGCATAATAACACCGGAGCCCCGCTGCGGGGAAACTTTCGCGCTGTTCTTTGAGTTTATTCTAATCTGTCAAAATGACGGACGGCTTTCAGATTTTTCCGTCATTTTAAAAAAAAAAACGTCATCGACGGAAATATTCGGTTAACACGACCTCTGATACACAGTAACAAGAACACTATTAATTTGTCTAATTCCAGGCGGTTTCTACTTTAGAAACATTTTAAACGCATGATACTTCTCTGTACAACTTACAGATATTATTAAAAGTTCAGATCTGAGGTATTGTCCACAGTAATAACTGTTACATGTCTAATATGTGTAATATGTAATGTGAAGCGCTTTGAGCACTTGGGAAAGCGCTCTAACAAAAATGTAATGAATTATTATTATTATTATTATTATTATTATTGCCACAATCATATTAATTCTAAAATGTGAAATACATCTCTGTTTTTAGGATAAATGTGGCTAATATGAAAAACAAAAATATTAACATATTTTTAACTTTGTTTAACCTCATTGTCTTGCTGTTCATCTGTAGGATGATGTCTGTGACTTGACTGTAACAGAACCAGAGAAGTAAGTTGAATTAACAATACACAATGTATAAATGGATGCTAATATATTGCACAAGATGTATTTTTAACCCTAACTGCTAATGTTTTGTGTCATCCCAGTGTGCAGACAGAGGAGGTGGAGCTGACCAGTGAGAGTGTCAACAGAGACAGTGAGAGAGTGGGACCGGACTGCTTTGAGCTTCTGACTGTACTCGGAAAAGGAGCCTATGGCAAGGTGTGTGTGTGTGTGTGTGTGTGTGTGTGTGTGTGTGTGTGTGTGTGTGTGTGTGTGTGTGTGTGTGTGTGTGTGTGTGTGTGTGTGTGTGTGTGTGTGTGTGTGTGTGTGTGTGTGTGTGTGTGTGTGTGTGTGTGTGTGTGTGTGTGTGTGTGTGTGTGTGTGTGCTGTGTGTGTGTGTGTGTGTGTGTGTGTGTGTGTGTGTGTGTGTGTGTGTGTGTGTGTGTGTGTGTGTGTGTGTGTGTGTGTGTGTGTGTGTGTGTGTGTGTGTGTGTGTGTGTGTGTGTGTGTGTGTGTGTGTGTGTGTGTGTGTGTGTGTGTGTGTGTGTGTGTGTGTGTGTGTGTGTGTGTGTGTGTGTGTGTGTGTGTGTGTGCTGTGTGTGTGTGTGTGTGTGTGTGTGTGTGTGTGTGTGTGTGTGTGTGTGTGTGTGTGTGTGTGTGTGTGTGTGTGTGTGTGTGTGTGTGTGTGTGTGTGTGTGTGTGTGTGTGTGTGTGTGTGTGTGTGTGTGTGTGTGTGTGTGGTGGTGTGGTGTGTGTGTGTGTGTGTGTGTGTGTGGGTGGTTTCACAACTACCAATATTTACTAGTCGACGCGTTTTTCAAAATAGTAGTCGACTACTCGTTACGTCATAATAAAGACACACAAAGAGAGGTGTACAACTGTATTTTATATTGGAACTCATACAGTTACATTAAACACTGCATTTTAATTTGTGTTACATGGCTGAGTAAATTACAAACAGTAACTGGACTTAGTAAATAACAAACAGTAACTGGACTCACCAAAATCGACAGCAAAAAACTCCGTTTACTGAAATGCCACGTAAATCCAGTGCGCAACAGCGCATTGCGCAACACTTTACTCGCTATCCTCCACGATAACGTCCACCTTTCCAGATGTTTGGTTTGCGTTGAGGAACACCAACGCATCGACATGTGAGGGAAGGAGGCTTGACCGCTTTCGGGTGACAGCGTTGCCTGCCAGGGAAAAAACCCTCTCACTCGGGGTGCCTGGAATAGCCAGGTAGCTCCTCGAAAGCTTGGCTAAACGGGGGACGCGGTGCGCGTTTTCTGCCCACCACTCCAGTGGGTTATCCATTGTGGGGATATGCAGTGTCCGCTGGCAGTAAACCCTAGCTCATCATCCGCATCACTGTTGACCCGTTTTTTCTTGCTGCTCGTCTGCCTCTGTCCTGTGCTGACGTCGGTCCGTTGCTCACTGGTGCTAGCATTACTGCTAGTGCTAGCTGTTGGCAGCGGGTGTCTCATCTTCAGATGGTTGCGCATAGCAGATGTATTTTTGTTGTACTTCAGTACAGCTGTACACAACTGACACTTCACTGTGGAGTTGGTTACATCTTTGTTGAAGTACTGCCATACATAAGAATGTCGGACGTGTTTTGAAGCATTTTGCAGCACCTCGTTTACCTCCATTTTTCACACGACTAGTTGACTAGGGCCTACAGCGACGACTAGTGGTAAAGGTAGTCGACTAGTCGATTAGTTGGTGAAACCCCTAGTGCAGGGGTCTTCAACTAAAATTCAACGAGGTCCAGTTAGAGAAAATCTCCCCATGCAAAGGTCCGGAACATCAAAATGTCTAACTTGCTTCATGAATTAGTGTGATATATATTGAAGTGTCCTGTAGCTTTATCAACGTCTGCATGTAATCAACAACTGACTGCCAATCAAATAAAGAAAGTACAATTCAAAAACAACAATATTTATTGTCAATTAACATTACTTAAATACTGTGGATATGTGTAATGTTCCTCTCGGGCTGCATTTACAAATAAAATAGAGACAATAAATAAAATAGCTTTTGAAAATATGTGCATCTTAAAAGTGCTTAATTTTAGATAAATAAAATAAAGTGTAGCAGCAGCTTGAGTGTCCCTTTTTCTTTGTTAACCGTTTCACATCATGACTTAACAGTTTCAGACGATTATAGAACAATATCAGTCTTTACACATCATAACAATTGAACAGTTTAAAGTTTCTCTTTCTTTCCCTCTTATATTGCAGTCCCTCACTCACTTTGTTTAAATTCAGTGTGAGAATTGAGCTCGAGCTTGTCCTGCCAGGAGTTTGTAAATCTGGGCTGACATGGAGTCAGGGCCATTCTCATACACATGCAGGTGCTCATTGGTTACAGTGATGCAAACACAGGTATGGTGAAAAAAAAAAGAACTATTCGAAGCAGAAAAAAAAACAGCGTAATATACCATCTGACAAAGGCCTGTGCTATAATGCTTCAATTAACTGCTATTCTTTATAATATACTCAGATCAATAGGAGACAGAGGTGTTAAGTTATAAATCAAGGGTTTTTATTATTATTTACAGCAGGGGAGGGGAACCTTTTTCCTTTCAATTTTTACAACATCCTCCGAGGGTCGTACAAATTATTGAACTCAACCTTTGCTTAAAAAAACTAAAATCACAGCCCATTCATTTCGCCTTTCTTTCATGCTGTGCAAAGAAAAAGCAACCTCTTAATCCAGATATCTCACCATGACTCGTGCGTGCATGCATGCATGTGCACGGTGTGGCATGACCACCAAAACAGAAAGATATGGACACAAGATGTGTGCAAATGTATTTAGTATCCTATCCATGTGAACATGATTTAAGTGGGGGGGGACCTAACCTCCTCTAGGGGGGTCCGGGGGCATGCTCCCCCGGGAAGATTTTTTTTAAAATATTGAAGTTAAAAGCATCAATCTAGTGCACTTTGAGAGCAACATTAAGAGTTCTATTTCGTCCCTACTGACCGCCAGAGGCGGTGCTTTAGCACTGGATGTGTCCATCGCGCGCATGCGCAGCTCGAGTACCAATACCAACAAAGTCACCTGTGACCCACGTGACACCGGCTATATCAGCCGGTGTCGTCAGTGGATCTGTTCCTTTCATCTTCTCGCTGCGCGAGAGTACCTTGGCTACATTTTTTTGTAGCCTACAGCGTACGTTCGGTTGGAATATTTGTTAAGGATTCTCTGCAAACAGCTGGCTGTGTGCAGCTTTGCGACTCATCCAGTCGGGGCCGCGGGTTTACCCGTCCTCCAGGATCTGTGGCTGGCTGCGCAGAGACTTCGTTCGGACAGGTTGGTGTCGGCTTGGTTGGTGATGGCAGTGTTTTCGCTCCCTCTCCCAGCCTAGTTGTCCCGTTACTGTCTGTTTTGCTTTTTGGGCTTCAACTTTTATGGTGACGGAGGTGTTTCCGCTCCCTCTCCCAGGAGTTGCCCTTGCTGTGCTTTTGTACTTATTCTGCGAACTTCATTAGCATTGAGCTAGTTAGCAGTAGCGCTGCAGCCACTCGGCTGACGCCGTGTTAAGCACCGGAGTTTCCCGTGCTGTTTTTTTCTTTAGAAGCCAGTTTCCGGTCTTAGCTTGTGTAAAGCTTCTTGATTTGGGGTGTAGCTACATCCCCTTTGTTTGTTCGGCGAGTAGCAGCACCGCTCTACTCTTCCCGTTCAGCAGGTAGGCATTCGTCTTTAATTTAACCAGTGAAGGTACTGCTCTCGCCCCCGCTCCTGGTAGATGCCAAACTACCTTGTTTATTCCGTTGAGCAGGTAGCTGGTGAAGGCTGTGTTCCCGCACCCGCTCCCGGTTACGCTGCATCGGGCATTTGTCTTAAATTAACCAGTGAAGGCAGTGTTCTCGCCCCCGCTCCTGGTAGATGCTAAACTGCCTCGTTTATTCCGTTGAGCAGGTAGCTGGTGAAGGCTGTGTTCCCGCACCCGCTCCCGGTTACGCTGCATCTGGCATTTGTCTTAAATTAACCAGTGAAGGCAGTGTTCTCGCCCCCGCTCCTGGTAGACGCTAAATTGCCCGGTTTCCGTTAAGCAGGTAGCTGGTGAAGGCTGTGTTCCCGCACCCACTCCCGGTTACGCTGCATCTGGCACTCGCCTCTAGCTCAACCAGTGAAGGCAGTGTTCTCGCCCCCGCTCCTGGTAAACTGCCTTATTTATTAACCCAGCTAGGTGAAGGCAGTGCTCTCGCTCCCGCTCCCTCTGCCGGTAACGTGGGTATACTTACATCCCTCTTTCTGTTTGGCGAGTAGCGGCGCGGCTCTACTCTTTCTGTGAAGCAGGTAGCTGGTGAAGGCTGTGTTCCCGCACCCACTCCCGGCTACGCTGCGTCTGGCTACCTACAGAATGGCTCATGCATGTAGCGCCTGTATGGCTTCTCTTGAGCCCGAGGACGGCCATGACCGCTGCCCCTCTTGCCTCGGCCTCGAGCATCTAAGGGAGGCTCTCACGGTAGGGGCCTGCATGAACTGTAGTTGCATGCCCCGGGCACTCAGAATGGCTAGACTCACTGAGGTGGAACAGCTGGCGGCAGCCAACGGACACCTCTCTTGGTCACATCCTCCTCCAGATCAGTTCGGCCGTCCCCGGCGACTTGAGGGAGCGATGGCCATGGGTGCACCCCCCCCAATAGGAGGACTAGAAACAGGCTGTCCTCTAAAGTGGATCAGCTGGCTACCGACATGGACACAATAAAGTCGCTCCTCTTGGCCCTTCAGCCAGGGCCCGGTATAGGTGCTGCTAGTGTGCCGCCTGCCCCTCCTTCGGTTGCCGCCCCTCCTTCAGTTGCCGCACCTCTGTATGAGGATGCCTTGTCGCTAGCGGCTTCGGCTAACCTCTTCAATGAAGAGACGGAGGACGAGGTCCCGCTCGAGGAGGCTTCCCTCTCCTCTGCTCAGGGGTCTCGGCAGGGCGTGGATGACGACTCCATGGCGGCCATTATTCGTACGGCCCTGGCGCACCTGCAGATTCCGGTTCCGCAGGCCGACTTAGTTCAGGCTAGTGCCTTCTTCAGGCGTAGCCCAGCCCCTGTCCCCCTCACCGTTCCTCCTTCAGAGGAGTACCTAAGGGAGCTCCAGGCATGCTGGAGGAACACCAGGGCTCTCGGCCACGCTGGCTCCGATGCCCGGACCTTGGCTGCCATGCAGGACCCGGCGAGGCTGGGGCTGGGTGGCATGCCACCCATTGAGCC